TGTAGGTAGGCATGCCTACCAACGCCAAACGACGTGGACGTTAAGAAGAAAACAACAGAAATCACACGCCACAACAAACGAATAAAACACATTTAACTCAGTCTGTGTTGTATTCATTTACTTGGTATCAGCTCGACTGTAGGCAGCACTGTTTTTGACAGACTTAAGATAATTTTCATCACTATAAACAACAGACATCCCTGAGTTCAGGTAAAAGTGCAAAGAAATCACGTGACATCGAAGTGTTTCCTTATGCGGTGTGTCTCATATGTTTTTGGTTGTTGTTGTTGTTGTTGTAATTAATTCAATTTACGTTGAAATAATGTGGGACATACTTGCAACTTGGTGACAAACTATGCAACTTAATCCTAACCCACGATGCTGCAGAAACATGATCTAGTTCCAGCACTGACCCCATTGTTTATTACAGTAGCGTCAACACATTTAACCTAGCCCAAGAGGAACTCTTGACTTTTGGATTGTGGTATCCACTGCGGAATGGTGCCCTCTCAGCAGCCTTTACTGTTTATTTTATGGGACTTAACTGCATACAATGCGATCCAACTATCCTGATGAACAGCAGTGGAAAAGTCATTTGTACAAGGTGCTATTATATGGTTGAAGCCAGTGTGAGGTTTACACGAGAGAATCATCTTTCATATTCACTCCAGGATTTTACAATTGTGCTTACAGTTTTAAGGAAACAAGTGCACCTGGAATTTCATTGTCGTGTAAAAAATATTCACAGCAACCACGTACTGTTTCTCCGTCTTATAAGAAAGGCTAATAGACGCACAACCCCTCTATGTTCATGAGAGAAACAGATCGCCCCGCTTACAAAGCAATTAATCAAGTAACAGAAAGTAACAGAAAAGCTTACAAAGCAGTACTTGTTCAACTTGGAACTAGAAGAAAAACTAGGCATGAACTAATCAAGAATCAACATACCTCTCGTCTGGCTTTTTGTTGATCTAAATTATCAAACCAGCTCTTATGTCTCGTTTATATGTTTGTTTTATATTTGTCATGTTACATTCCTGCGCATGGTTACATTCCCGCAAACACACGCAAGTAGGCGTGGTGACTCAAATAAAGGTAGTTAATTCCACAAGCACATTTCAATTTACTTACAAAATATTATAGAGCTATCGCAAGGGCTATTGGACTCGAAGTTCCCAGGTTGGACACTAGTGGATTCCAGCTGCAGTTAAAGGGCCCATGAATTGAACAAGTTAATGCAATCGTCATTTTTAAAAGAGAAACTAGTCACAAGATGGGTGCCGCTTCCGAATTTGTGTTGAGATAACGTGGGACATACTGTGAAACGCGGTGACAAACTATGCAACTTATCCCTATCCGACGATGCTGCAGAAACCTGATCTAGGGTCAGTGCCTAATATCGCATGACTATTATAATGTGGTACTGAAAATACAAGCAAGTATTTAGTGTCAAAGATAGTTTTGGCTGTGTTGTATTGAAGATAATCTTGCGTGTGTGGAATGCAAGATACTTTTGGTTGTGTTGAATAAAGATTGTGTTGATAACTAACAAGTATGATTGACAAATAAGGTGTCAGAATTACACCAGCGACGACTTGCCTTTATGCACAAATCTTGCTTTTGTTGGTCTGTGTAGTTGACTCCAGTCTTGACAAAATCCAGTGTCTTCAGCTTATCTTTACAGCACACAGGAGGCGGCTTCTTGTCACAGCACAGGAGCATGATAGCATGGTCTTCTTCGTTCTCCGCACTAGCACCTTGGGCAATATTGGTGATGGCGTCTTTGCTTAGCTGGTAATTAAATGGACAAGTAAATGTATGCAATCGATCTCCCAGATGCTGTCTCCACAATTAAGTTAGGCTGCAATGGATCTCCAACACACACACACACACACACATAGACGCACACACACATACTGTCTCTCTCTTATCTTGATGGTGCACTCTCCCAAACAGCTGTCAGACCATTTCTTGATGTTGTCCTCCCACTTGTATCGTTGTCTGCCGATTTCTTTCTAGCCTTCGACACTTTCCTCCAGGATTGTTTCAAAAAGAGGGTTATGTCTATTAATTTGACCGACAAATTTTTTAAATATTTTTCTCTTTTTTATTTCTTTTAGTAACTCTTTTCATTCACTGTCTCTCCATGCCTTTTGTATATATGCACATATAAAGAGATAAGGAGTGGCCAAACAGTTGTCAACAACATGCAACCATTCCAGATGAAAGAGAAAAGGCTAAAGAGAAGATGGGTGCAGGATGTGGCGGATGATCTCCAGATGAGTGTATCGGACGCGGGACATCTTGCTTGTGATAGAGAAGTTTCCCTGAGGGTTGTTTTGGGAGCAAGGTTCTGCAAAGGACATGCTACTGACTGATAGTATACTGTTGTTGTTGATACTAGTGTCGAAAGCCGCGTATGATGAAAACGTGGGTAAAAAATTTCTCATTGTTAAGCAGACGACAATAAGTACCATCAGTATGCAGACTCTTCGTTGGATGTTGAGGAAGGTGATTATATTAGCTTGTCCTTAATGATTTGATATCGAATCTTTACCCGTAAGCAGGTCTCCATGGCGCAGTGGTCAAGCTATTTGCCTGGTGCTCTAAAGTTGGTGGTTTCGTTTCACGGCTGCGCCCTTGAGTTCATGAGTGCTGTTTTTACGGAAATCTATCTGGATCGTCGCCGGAGCTACTGTGTTCAGGCTCTGTACAGTGCTCTCTTCCAGAATTGAAACTTGTCAAGTGGTATGTACACTCAATTCTGTTTAATGGTGCGGACACCAGACAATGAACAAGCAATTATACAGTTTAACCTAAACTCTGGATTTTTGGACATCGGGTAGAATCTGTCGTATTTAATGGGCTCGGAAAGAAGGGGGGGGGGGGCTGACATCAGTTAAATGCATGAGTTCAGAAGAGTCTGGGGATGAAAACAATGTTTTGAAAGAAGGCTTTAGAGAGAGAGAAAGGAACAAGTGCCATATTAAAATAAAACATACAATGCATACAAACCACAGTGCAGGCGACATTAAAGACAAGGGAGCAAGAGGCAGACATCGATGACAATGGAAGAATAGAAAAAAAGAGACAGACTAGCAGAAGCTTCTTAAAATATACTACGCACACAAGAGGAAGCAAGTTTTGGGAATATACTGCAGCCGGTCATATCTGTGAAGATAATTGTTGATTAATTAGATGGTAAATGGGTGGAGAAATATTTAGTCAAGAAAATAACACATAAAGGAAACTTGCATAGTTCTATTCATACCATCTATAACTCTAAAACTGCTTACCATTAGTGGTGAACTGATGTATGACAAGCTACAAGTTGTGAGGGCCATCTAGAAGCGAGTGAACTGTGCGGAAGCGCTAACAGATCATCATGGTCTGAAGAGAATTGCGCTGCCAGGTGATCTGGTTGATGCTCAACATCCAAGGGAAAGGCGTGACGGATATACAATCAGACAGTTACTGATGCCAGCGGAATTGAAACTCTTCGATTGCTGCTGAAGATGGGGACGGAGCGCTTATGGGAGTGTCCCGAGTGCTATGATGTTGATTCTTAGTTCAACATTCAACATAATCGGCATCAATACAATAACCAGTGAAGCTGATATGCTCCCCGGTATGGGTTCTGGTGCCACATTATGGGAAAAACAAGAGTAGACCTACTGCCTCTCAGACCAGCATGTCGTATGTGTCGACTAACTGGGAGCTTTCTTCGATATCGGAGTGCGTCTGCGACGAATCATCACAGCTTTCCACTGGAGTTTACAGCTGGTGAACGCCAAACTGAAGCTAATGTACAAGGTCAGTCTAGACAATATACATTTATTCCTCAATGTGAAAGGGACAGAGAATCATTGCATGGTTGCATTCGAAAAGCAATACAGAGAAGCTAGAAAGCTGGGGTGGTAATGCCCTTCTTTTTGGTTTAAATTCAAAACAAAAAACAAGTAAAAGACTGTGGTCTGTCATGTGCATTACATAATGCTATACCTATGGTCCGTCAGGTATATAATTCCAGACCTATGCTCCCTCAGGTATATAATACTATACCTATGGTCCGTCAGGTATATAATACTATACCTATGGTCCGTCAGGTATATAATACTATACCTATGGTCCGTCAGGTATATAATACTATACCTATGGTCCGTCAGGTATATAATACTATACCTATGGTCCGTCAGGTATAGAATACTATACCTATGGTCCGTCAGGTATATAATACTATACCTATAACCTTATAGACCAACTAACACTCTATGGGCGACGTGGTAAACATCACGCATGCCGTCTTTACTTCCCAGGATATTACCTCGAAGATATTTAAGGCATCATTAATCATGAGAACACCCTGAACAGATTAAAAAAGAGTAATGACGATGACTGGAAAGAAACTGACACTGGAAGAGAATTGATTGCCCACATCAGAAGGAGACAATCTACATTCTTTGGTTATGTGATGTGGAGATTAAAACTAGAGGTGGAGTAGGAAAGCGCAGAGGCTCTCTCTCTCTTTCTCTCTCTCTCTCTCGCTTTCTCTCTCTCTCTCTCTCTTTCTCTCTCTTTCTCTCTCTTAATTTACCCCACCAGGACATCACACCGAGCGATAACACCCAGTGACACAAAGTGTCACCATGTGGATGAGGATCACCCGTAGAGAGGTCCCAGAAATCCCTTTTAGCCGTTAGGCCTTATTTATTTCCAGGCTATATTCAGGGTCCCCGGCAAAAGCCAGGATGGGGCTTCGCATAACAAAAAATTTCATCCCACGTGAGGATGACTGTTACCCTTTCAGGCGGAGGGTAACAGAGAGAAAGAGAGAGAGAGGGGATACTGAACAATTTGATGTAATGACATGGAAGGTCGTCTTGTCAGAACTGATTACAAGTAAAAAAGGTTGTGGGTAGACATGACTACCAAAGCCACACGGCATGGACTATAGGAAAAAGAAGGGCTTAGAGATGTTGATCTTCTAATTATTAACTTACCCGTATAATCTTATCAGTAAATGGTGTCGTTATAACTTTCAGCATTTCTTTATTAGCTCCTTTGTCTTGTTTCAGGGGCAAAGAATTGACAATAGCTTCTGTCAAGTGAAATAGGTAACCTGAAGACAAAGTCAAATAGGGTAAAAAGATATTGTGTTTCAAGTGTGTGTTATTTCTGACATAATGTAGTGTGTCAAAGTAGCTTGCCTCAACCTGAATGACAAACTAGTTTTACGTAACTGTAAAGGTAAGCATATTGTAGGTACGGGTGCGACGTATTGTTTACACATTAACACTTGTCAGAACTTTTCGATCTGAGGAAACCCACTTTGTATTATCATGTGATTTCAGCTTTCGCCAAGCAAAGTATATATTTTTAAAGACGGTTTAATCCTTGCAAGAAAAAGTGACTTTTTTTTTAAAATATTTAAATTGCAAAGGAGCTAATAAAGACGATTCAAAAAAAAAAAAATAATTGACATGAGATTCCAATGAAGGCATGTCAATACAACAAGAAGATTTAAGACCCGAAACGAGGAAATCCGAAGGAAAATGGATGCAGCATCTCTAGATTTCACTAGAAGACAAGAAGTGAAATGGTTTGGTTATGTAACGTGGGTGTCAGCAGAGAGTATATCACCTGTAAAGATGTACAGACCAGGCGGGAAAGGAAGAAGAGGCCGATCATGTAAGCGATGAACAGAGGGAATGAGGGAGTCCCTGGGAATCCAAATTTACGAAGCACACAAAGGGGCTCTCTTCCGTAAATTATACTTCACCTCGACACCGCAAGGTACCAGAGTATCAAGTTGCGATGAGATGGAAACAAAAAGTTGTGTATCCCTTACAGGACGTTGCAGAAACAACCCCAGCAATTATTGGTTGTTTTAGTTTTACTAAGCAATTTAGCATGTAGTGGTTTGACATTGCTGGATCAACTCAAGGCGGTGGGCTCTGAAAACTTCCGCAGCTGGAATTGAATCAAGTGCTTCGGAAATACGAAGCGCGTCCGCAACGTCTAAGCCACATGCACCGACAATAAAGATATTATTAAACAGATTATTATCATGTAGCAGGTCCTTTGCAGAACGTCGCTCCCATCACGGTCTGCCTGAAAGAAACCCTGTCTCTCGCCAGCTCTCCCGCCTCATGTACTTTTATTTTCAAGGAGTCACTTATATTCTGTGCCCATCTTTGTATAGGTCGGCCCCTGCCTCTCCTTCCTGGTACCATGCCTTCCGCTATTATTTTTTTTCAACTTTCCAAGGCGCTTGAAATGACCAAAATAGTTCAGCTTTCAAGACAGAATGCTTTTTATTAGCTTATCTTTTACAGCGCCAGTATTTGCTCTCTTCTTTGTTTATGCTATTAAGTAAGCGGATAGTGTCGTAACAAAATTATTTGTATGTCCAGATAGCAGAGACAGAAGGAGCAGCATGATATATTGAGAAAGCTGAGCAGCACTGTTTTCTTGCTTAAGGACTAGGAGTCCACGACTCACATCCATATGTTGCTGCATGGAACATGCATGCTCTCAAAGTTTTTTAATTTCATTTTTTTTTTTTGTTGCTGGTACTTAACTATAGACAATTAATACTGTTTCATCTGTGTATGGCTATGTTCATTCCCCCTTTAACTTCTATTGAACAGTCTCTATTGCCGTTTATTATGGGAGCCTAGATACTCAAAGTATGTGACATGTTCAATGCCTTCAAAATTGCTTACGGGAACTTTATAAAAACTATTAAACTCGTCAGAATCATCATTTAAGAAGGCGCGAGAAACTATCACATGAACCAGCCAATAATATCATGTACTGTTGCCCCAGAAAATGTGATACTGAGATATACATGGCCACCATTCAACATGATACGAGCATAACTTACTGGGGAACACTTCAAGAGGTAGCTTAACTGTCACATTACGCAGTTGAAAATGTCATTACTATTACTCCGAAAAATCATGAAACTGAGATACATAGGGTCAACATTCAACATGATTCGAGAATAACTTACTGGTAATCACTTCAAGAGGTAACTGTCACATTAACGAGCTGAAAATGTCATTACTTTTACCACAGAAAATGTGATACTGAGATACATATGCTCAACATTCAACATGATATTAGCATAGTTTACTGGTGATAATTTTAAGACGTAGCATCACTATTACAGTATCCAAATTAACATATCATGTACTGTTGCCCCAGAAAATGTGATACGGAATACAAATGGCCAGGGCTTAATTTTTCCCTAAAAAAAAAAAAAACTACCAGTACTCACCATGAAATGTCTTTTAAAGGGTGTCGACACTCACCAGAATGTTTTTTTTACAGTAGCACTGTTAGATTGATGCTTACAAAAAAGGTCATGGTACTGCGCCGCTAGAGATTTTTTTTAAAAGGACCTGCATAGGATCAACATTTCACATGATACAAGCTTAACTTACCGGTGATCACTTCAAGAGGCAGCAAGACTATCACAGTTAACCAGTTGAACATATCATGTACTGTTGCCCCAGCAAATGCTCGCCTGAACTCTCCCTTGTCGCTCATCTGACCTAGTGCCACAATAGTGTTGGTAACAGACGTCCCGATGTTGGCACCCATTAAAATGGGTATGGCTGATTTGATGTCAAGAACTAGGTAAGAAGAAAATGTAGATAAAATATGTTGTATAAAAAGAAGCTTGTGTACAGATATGTAATAAAAACTGAGTGTCAATGTCTGGACGCATTTTTTTTTCTTGTTTCAAAGCCCCACCCTTGCTGTTAAAATAACATTACCTATGGGTTAAACAGGGTTTCTGGGACTTGTCCCAGGGTGATCCTCTTCTAAACAAACGGTGGCACTTTTTATCACCGGGTGTTTAACGCTGTGTGGTGTCCTGGTGGGGTATATCAATCAATTAATCGAAGCTTGTATAAGATTGCAGAAAACGGCTGATCTGTGTGAATAATGAGTTATGAGCTTGGTTATCTTTATGGCACTCTGCATACGTCCATAAGTACTCAGATTCTCCCATCAAACAAATACATCAGATTCCAGCTGTTTATAGTGCCAGTCCTATGCTGGTTAGCAAGACTTTCTCTACGTCCAGTGCACGATTCTTAACAGTAATGTAAACACGCTGCACTCCGATGCGTGCAGGGTCTTCTTGGCCTCCCCTGGAGTGGTCGCGGGGTTCTTAGATTCTTCCAGTGATGCGTGTGTGTGTGTATGTTCTTCGCACTAAAAATGCGTTTATGTGTCCAGCTTGAATATTACCAATGGTCAACAGTAATAATGAAATTCCTTGAAATCATAATTCATTAATCTGAACAAGACAGGGATAGAATGCACCAAAAGTGTATTCACAGGTTCAGTTCTGAAAATAGCTGCGAAATGGAATAAGTGCAAAATTAAATCCCCAAAATGCAATATCGAGCAAATCATGCCATTCGTTCTCAATCTCACTCTCGGCGAAAATTAGACTGCATAACAAATCACAGATCATAAAATCACAGCTATAGATCAAAAATCACAGCTATAGATCATCAAATCACAGCTATAGATCATCAAATCATGGCTATAGATCATCAAATCACAGCTATAGATCATCAAATTACAGCTATAGATCATCAAATTACAGCTATAGATCATCAAATCACAGCTATAGATCATAAAATTGCAGCTATAGATCATAAAATTACAGCTATAGATCATCAAATCACAGCTATAGATCATCAAATGACAGTTCTTGATCATCAAATCAGAGCTATAAATCATCAAATCACAGCTATGGATCATCAAATCACAGCTATAGCTTATCAAATAATAGTAATAGTAATAGTGGATCCGGTTAAAATGGACGCTAGACAGCGGCGCTGTGTCGGAGCGGAGGCAAATTTTTTGCTTCTGCCGGACGGTGGCCGAAGTATTTTTGCGTCATTTGTAGACTGGATATAGTTTCGTCGCCCAGCTTCTGAGTTGAATGCATGGCGTGACCCTGTGAGCTGCGGATTGCATTTGGAATGTTTTTTCGACTGTGACCAACGTGGTGTGAATTGTAGATTCAGAAAAATGCCGGTCGTCAATGTTGGCGGTGCCCGTGTGTGATTACAATTGATCGCGTGGGAAACTGCTGATCTGTTGGCGACAAGTTCTGCTATCATCAATGATGAACTGCATTTCTAATGTTGGACTGTTTGTGTTAGCACTTCGGATGGCTACCATATGCTTTAATACGAGTGTATGCTAGATATGCTGAGACAGCAGTCTGTCAATCTTTCAACAAGGGACTGTGATAAACATTCTGGGTGTTTTTCGCTGGCACAGGAGCAGAGCAAAGATGGGGCGACCCGTTTGCTATGAAGCTGAAACTAAGACTACCAGACTACCAGACTACCAGACTATCAAATAATAGTATGAAGCTTCAAATCACAGCTATAGATCCACGGATCACAACTATAGACATCAAGTCACAACTGCAGGTCATTACATCTACCTTGGAACTTGATAAGAAGCAGCAATGCTGGTTTTCAAGAGATTGGCCATCAAAAATATCCATCATATGCACGATCTAAGAACTCCTGCTTACCCAGACATACGTGCGAATACTGATTGAGTGTGTATGTGTGTGAGTGTGTGTCTTAGTGTGTGCGTATGTGTGTGTATGTGTCTGAGTGTGTGTGTATGTGTGTGTCATAGAGAGAGAGAGAGAGAGAGAGAGAGAGAGAGAGAAAGGGAAAGGGGAGAGGGGAGGAGGAATTCTGAACTAAAAAGGATAAAAATTAGCGCTCTCAAGTCGATCCCGATCTTTAAATACACTAAACTGTGAATTGTTGCATGTCATGGAGGTGCGTCGGCACATGAACTGATACATGCTGCAAGAGATCGTGGATTATGGAGAGGCATGATCGCCCACGCCAGTCGGCAAGGCACCTGATGATGATGAGACTGAGAATTGTTTTAGTGTATAGACAATATCTGTTTCTTCAACTGCGTCCCCTTCTAAAAGAGCGGTTGGCACGATGTATTGTAGTTAACAGCCAGGCTTGGATATATTCACTTTTAGGTCTACACATTTGATTTCAGCAAATCGCTAATAAGTCCCCTTTAACGACATGTTTGTTAGCGGGCAATGGATCGGTACTTTTCTTTCACCCAAAACGGATCCTTCTCTTCTCTCTCTCTCTCTCTCTCTCTCTCTCTCTCTCTCTCTCTCTCTCTCTCTCTCTCTCTCTTTCTCTCTCTCTCTCTCTCTCTCTCTCTCTCTCTCTCTCTCTCTCTCTCTCATGTTGTACCCCACCAGGACATCACACATAAACACCCGGTGGCTAAGTCGTTGCGAGTCCGACTCGTAATCCAACGTACCGCGATCGAAACCTGCGTGGGCTGCGTGGATTGTTATCGTGGTATGGGACGTCGCAGGTCGACCCAGCCTCAATTAGGTACCAGGATGGGCTGTCCTGGGAAAGTAAAGACAGCCGGCGTAATGCTGACCACATTACCCACCGAGTGCTGATGGTCTGTAAAAATATGGGCGCTCTTCCTATATGCCCGATACGCCTAAAGGCGTGAAAGGGATCTTTACTTTTACTTTACTTTTACTATATTCAGGGCTCCTGGACTTAGCCAGGGTTGGGTTTCAAATAACGAAAAATTGCATTCCACATTGGGACGAATAGTAACCCCAAAAAATTTATCCTCGAAACCCATACTCGTATATTGCTACATTACTGAACACGATATGGAGGAGCAAAATCAACATTACAGTTAACACCAATATTTACAAATTACTTGGATTCTCTACTTTCTTATACGGATGTTACAGTTGGACTCTCGCTGTGGAAATGGAAAGGAGGATTCAGGCTTTCGGATGTAAATGTTATGGACGCATTTTACGAATTAGTTATTTAGAACACAAAACTAACAAATATGTCAGAAACAAAAGGTACAAATTTGCATGACATTAAAAGCCTCTCCTGGCAGTTGTGAAACGTCGCAAGCCTAACTGGTTTGGGCATGTTGTGAGTCATGATTAGCTCTTTACGGACGTTTAGCCAGTATATTGGCGATTAAGTCTAACTCTTAAAGACGTATCGCCAGTATACTGGATCAAGATAGAAACACTCTTATTTTCTTCCGTTTGTAGGGAAAACGAACTTTTATGAACAAGTTTTTGGACAATTAGGATTAACAACAGGAAGTCCTTTCGTTTGCGTCATTCATTTTCTGATTTAAAAAAAAAATATTTAGATAAGATACAATTTTTACTTGATTTTTCTATACTAAATGATGAGGGAAAAGGTCGAGAACTGTTCACGCTGCTCTATCGTTGATGAATCTCTGCCAGATGATGAAAACAGTCTTGATATTATTACTGATATTTAAGTGACAAATCTACTAGCGATAATTTAGTTTAGGATATGAAAATGTCACAAAATTATTTTAATCAGATCAATGTTTCGATCAGCTGTTTTATTTTCGATTTTCGGTTGTTTTGAAAATGAAGTGTCATACAAAAATAATCATAACATCCAAAAGTGTTTAAATTATTGTTTCAAATAAAGACTACCTAATACATAATTGAACAGAAAAGGCATGTGCATTCTTAGAACTGGATAGCAGTGTCGGTGTAGCAAGTTAAAAAAAAAAAGGTAAGCACACTATTTGTTATGTCAATAATTTTCAAAAACATCCCTGAACGTTGCGTAATTTTAAAAAAAATTGTGTTGTTATACTGACATTTAAATAGGTTAGATTTATTCTGCATTCATTTGTCTTTAATTTGATATATTATATGTCCCAACATAGCCAATACCTTTTATTCAGGGAGGTTTTAGCTTTGTCGTCTTGCAGTAAAAAAATTCCGCTAAATATTAATGCCGTCAAAACCCCAGAAAAAAAATATGGTCCTGAAAGAGATTGCAAAGACTACTTCAAAGAACACTGGTGGGGCGGGGGATGCGGGGTCGGGGTGGGGGGGGGGGGTTTAGTCGAAGAAGAGGAGGGAAAAGATCGTGATAATGACAATATCAAGAAATGGCGAGGACTACGTTATACTACCCTTATTTATCAAGCGGAAGACAGAGAAATATGGCTGGTTTGTGTATTAGCGCTTCCAACGATACATCCCCACGACCAAAACGAGTCAAGGGTTATGTTATGTTATTGCTACAAAGTTCGAGCACCTATTTAAAGTGTTGGATCTGTTTCAAACTTTGATCTTTTATCTTTACCGTGAATGTTTGATGTTCTCTTGCTAAATAAATGACTTCTGTTTTTGTTTGTTTTGTTTTGTTTTCTTCCAGTTTTCATTTACATAATATAGTTTGAGGGGGTTCTCGTGAAGCTGGTTTATTATTACCACTCTGCCATGCCCCGAAATATACACATCAAGTCAAACATGTATACTTACTGCCAGCTCCGACCATGCTGACAACAATACTGGTAGACGTGGAGGAACTCTGGACAAGCACAGTCACCAGAACTCCTATCATCAAACCAGCGACTGGGTTGGTCAGGATATCACTCTGTTGGAAGACTTTCCCTGCTGCCTCGCCTGGAAATGTACACGAGAAAGGGGCAACTATAGACTACAGAACAACAGAGAAACACTGCACCAATAAACCTGATATAGTTGTTGCAAAGACCTGGTATTAGAAAAAACCAGAGAGGTTTATGGACATGCAAGAGCCATCCTAAGATCAGAACCCGTACTCACTACAACCCATTCAACAAAAATTGAAGAAATTCTTTGTGAGTCACTAAAACTACCGAAAAATTAGTGTAAATAGATTATTAGGGAAAGTGGTATAAAGTTACAGAAAAACTAGATTTAAACCAGGAAAATTGCACAAGGTCCGTCTGCGTTGAAGGATTGCGCGATTAAAAAAAAGAACTTATTCAGCGTACACAATTGTTCCGCTGGCACGTTACCATTTTTCAAAATGATAGTGTTGTATTGTGCTATTGGGATGCATGAGACTCACAGTCCATGTCGATGGCGAGTGTCACTAGCAAGAAAGACCCCGCACGAACTTATGGAAATACCTGGAGTGCTGTGCTGCTGGTTGTTTAACGCCTCTGAGATGTCTAATCTAGAAATTTCATTTAAAGAAATGCGTGGTCAAATAGAATGTATCAAAGTCATGTCAAATACTTCTCTGGGGGCAGGGATTTATTACGGTACGCAGTTCCGGCAAGTTATAATTGCATCATTTTATTCTTCACTACTGTAATAGACACTTTGTCGGGCGTACCTGCACCTTGTAAAATGATGATAAATTAGTTGCGTATCCTTTACAGGGTGTTGCAGAACCTACGCCATAATTGTTTGGATGTTGTGGTTTTTTTAACGCAAATTTCACTTACAGTAGTTCGCCATTGCTCACTGAAGGGTCAGCTGTCGGTACCATTGTCGAAACCAACGTAAGACGGTATGATGCCAAATCGCCTGAAGTTGGAACGTCGACTAAATGCTGATACGACTATATATTTAAAAAAGCAGAGAACTATAGACAAGACAGTAAAGTAAACGATCCCTTTTCAGAGTCTTGAGGCGTATTGGGCATATAGGGCTAGACCTATATTTTATAGATCAATTAGCACTGGTTGTGTGATGGGGCCAACATAATGCCGGCCAGCTTTACTTCTCAAGACTTTATCTGGCACTCATTTAAGGTTGAGTGGACCTGGGAATCATGGTCAGATTAAAAAAAAAAGGTCAGTTCTGTTACTGTTTGAACCCACGACCTTCGTATCCACAGACGTATGTCTAGCCACTACAACAGTGCCGCTCTAGGCAAGACAAAAACTAAACTAATACGCAGAAATTAGACAATCAGAAAATTTGAAATGCAGCAGTTTTTGGATCCTCTGAACAAATTTGCATCCCTTCATTGTTTTAAGCAAATGATGTGGCTCTTCATGCTGTTTGCAAAAAAAGCTGTGTTTGCACAGAACGTTTGCACAGAACCGTCTAGGATAATTATAACTCTGGGTACAGTGTATATCTTTGAACAATCTACAGGGTTAAATCCATTTCAAATACAATGCTAAGATTACTTTGTGAAGTCTTCTTTGGGTCAAGCTAACCTAGCTCCTTTTTAGTTAAGAGCAAAGAATTTGACAGATTATGTTTTGTTTTAGGGATCTTTTTCTTCTTCTTTTTCTTCTTCTTCTTCTTCTTCTTCTTCTTCTTCTTCTTCTTCTTCTTCTTCTTCTTCTTCTTCTTCTTCTTCTTCTTCTGCTTCTTCTTCTGTTTTTTCTTCTTTTTCTCCTTCTTATTCTTTCTTCTTCTTATTCTTCTTTTTCTTTTTTTTCTTCTCCTTCTTTTTTTCTTTTTTTTTCTTCTCTTCTTCTTTCTTCTTTTTCTTTCTTCTTTCTTTCTTCTCTCTTTTATTTTCTTCTTCTTCTTCTTTTTCTTCTTCTTCTTCTTCTTCTTCTTCTTCTTCTTCTTCTTCTTCTTCTTCTTCTTCTTCTTCTTCTTCTTCTTCTTCTTCTTCTTCTTCTTCTTCTTCTTCTTCTAAATTGCTGGGAAGTAAAGGTGGCATTGCGGTGTTGACCGCAGCGCCCACTGAGTAATGTTTGGTCCCTAAAATATTAATCTAGCACAGCAGTTCTCAACCTGTCGGTCGCGACCCCTTTTTGGGTCGAACGATCATTTCACAGGGTTTACCTAAGACCACTGGAAAACACAGATTTCCTGAAGTTATGAAGTAGCAACGAAAATAATTTATGAGGATCTGTATTAAACGGTCGTCGTATTAGCACGTTGGAGAACCACCGATTTAGCACAATATGCCCAATACACATAAAGGCGTGGAAAAGGATCCCTCACTAACTTTAGCAACGAAAGTAGCGCACAAAAATATGACCACAAATATAGCCGGGACTGTTGGCAGCTTCGGCTAGCTAGCAGCAGGTTAAACGTTGTTAAGTTAAAAAAAAATTTTTTTTCGCTCAAAAAGAATTGGAATTGGAAATCCTTCACTTTTACTTTACTAGTTTTACAGACATGCGGTATGTAGTAAAGCACTCTTACCACCGAGAAGTCTGAAGGCAGAACTCAGGAAGTCCAGGGAACATATGAACATGTACAGGCAGCCGAAAACTAATATAATCTTGACAGTGTAGCTGATTGTGCGCAGTATTTTTTGCTTCTTAGTCAGTTCTGAAACGGAGAGATGCATAACATGTAGTTAGTCCAATAAAATTGTAAAAGGTATAGTAAACGAGGGAGTTGCCGTGGCGGATCGGCTAGACGCTCGGCAGTGGATCGAAAGGTCGTAGATTCGCTCGCTGGCAGAGTCGAAATTTTTGTTCTCTAAAATTAGGCTCCCAGGTCGACCCAGCCTTAAGTAGGTACCAATTAAAGTCCTAGGAAGTAATTGCGAGCGGGGTGATGCTGACCAAATCACTCATCTTGTGTCTATGGGTTTATAAAATATAGGTCTAGCCCTATATGCCCAAAGGCGTGGAAAATGGTCCTTTTTTTACTTTTATTTCATAGTAAACGACCTCCATTCGTAGCACGAGGCCAATGGGACACATGTAACTTCATGGACCTTTTTCAGGCCCTTTTCCTTCTTTCTTTTTTTTTTTAGACCAATCATCACTTTGGGTGATGTGGTCAAATTATCAACCTGACCATGTTTACTTCCTGGTACTTTTTGTGTGTGGTTGTGTGGACCTGGGAGACAAGGACAATTCTTTAAAAAAAGCTATACTCAATTTAGATTCGAACACAAATCTCTCGAGCTGTCAAGGAAGTGTCGAGCCATTCAATAACCCCTTGCTCTCCGAGTATATCAAATCAGACTTCCGGTCAAATGGACGCTAGGTACGGTCACTGTTGTAAGCCGTGGCAAATTTTTTTGCTTCTGTCAGATGGTGACCGGTGTATTTTTGCTCCATTTGTAGACTGAAAGGATAGTTTCGTCCCCCAGCTTCTGAGTTGAGTGCATGACGTGACACTGTGAGCTGAGGATTTCATTTTGAATGTTTTTCTACTTTGACCAACGTGGTGGCATGAACTGTAGATTCAGAAAATGGCGCGATGTCTGTTGTCGCAATAGTGGTGGGGCCATTATGCGATTAAAATTGATCGCGTGTGCAACTGCTGATCTGTTCGTGACTTCTACTACCATCAATGATGAACTGCATTTCTAATGTCAGACTGTTTGTGTTAGCACTTCGGATGGCTACCGTATGCTTTTAATGCGTGTGTATGCTAGTGCATATGCACAGACAGCAGTTTGTCAATCTTTCCACAAGAGCTTGGGATAAACATTCTGTTTGTTTTTCGTTGGCACAGGAGCCGAGCAACTATGGGGTTACCCGTTGGCTATGAAGCTGAAACTAAGATTACCAGATTACCAGATTACCTGCTTACCAGATTATCAGATTACCAGATTACCAGATTATCAGATTACCAGCTTACCAACTTACCGCATTACCAGATTACCAGATTACTAGATTACCAAACTAGACTCATATTTTTTAGACCCGTCGGCCCTCTAATAGGGATGTGGCTGACATCTCGCTGATCGCCTTTATTTCCCTCCAGATTTCCTGGTACTCCTTTGAGTTGAGTTGATTCAAGAACCGATATCACAGCACTCGGCGCATTCCTATAAGCGCTCCGTCCCCATCTTCGGCAGCCAGCACAGAGTTCCAAAACCATTTTTTTTAGCGGCATTATGATTATATGCTTGTCTTGGCATTCTTCTGAGGGTCGAGTATCGGCTAAATCCACTCGTTCCCTAGTACTCATTTTATCATCATCATCATCAGGTGTCTTGCCGACTGGCGTGGGCGATCATGCCTCTCCATAATCTGCGATCTCCTGCAGCATGTATCAGTTCGTGTGCCGATACACCTCCATGCCATGCAACAAGACTGTCAAGCATCTTCTCTCGTTGTCTTTCTCTATCCCTCCTTTCACAGATCTTTCTAGTGGTCACAACATGTTCTACTTTCCCTCTTCTCATAACATGGCCCAATAATGATGACTGTCTCCTTCTGATGTCTGTGATGAGTTGTCTTCTGGCTCCCGGCTCTTCCAAAACCTCTTGGTTGCTCTTTTTGGCTGTCCAATGGATTCTAAGAATTCTTCTGTAAAACCACATCTCTGAGGCCTCTAAAAATTGTTTGGAATGCCTATCGATTGTCCAGGATTCACAGCCATATGTTAAAACTGGATGTGTGTAGCAATCAAGAATTCTTTTTCTAACTCTTAATGACAGGGATATATTGCACAAGATGTTTTTCATTTTATAAAATGCAGTTTTTGCCTTTCCAATTCTGTTTCTCATTTCAGTTTTGCATCTTCCATCTGATGTTATCCATGTGCCCAGATACTTAGATTTCTGTACTTGTCCTAAAATAACACCACTGACTTTTATTACACATTTAGGAATAATTTGTTTCTTTCATACTACCATTACTTCTGTCTTCCCATTATTTAAACTGATGCCCATTCTTCCACTTTCTAACACCATAATGTCTATCATTTTATATTGTTCCAAAAAAAAAAGAAACGCATAGTTACTGAAAGGAACACACACTTTTTTGACATTCTGCATCATTGTAATGCAGTAAGCGAAATTACTCAAATTTCACACAAGAATACATTAGGGTTCCACCAATCAATTGACACCTTTTATTGCATCTGGGTCATGTTAGCTTTTAAGCGTAGGCCTTTCCCTTTAGTCTGGTGTGTGGCCTCCTCTTGTGTGGATCAGTCACTGGCATCTACTGGGCATGGATGCGATCAGATGTCTGATGTGGGCCTGTGGGATGGCTGCTCACTCATCCTGGAGTGCCTGAAACAGATCACGACCATTGGCTGGAGCAACGTTTCGGCGACAAACACGTCTTTGTAGCTCATCCCACAGGTGCTCAATCGGATTCATGTCTGCAGACAGATATGGCCAGGGAAATGTTTGAATGTTATTGGCAGCCAGAAACTGAGTGGTCAGCTGTGCAGAATAACGTCTGGCCATTGCCCTGTTGAAAACGCTATCTGTCGGCATACCAAAATTGAAAGACATGTGATCGAAAAATTTCATTGACGTATCGTTGCGCATTCAAGCGTCCTTGTAACTGATTATTCCCCATACCATTACACCTTCACCACCTCGCAGCAGAGCTTCATCAACACAACTTTGGGTTAAACCCTAATTTCGTCTACGGTAGGCCCTACGCCGTCTATCATGACGCTGCAACAAAAAGAAAGATTCGTCACTGAACCAGACACGTCTCTACTGATTGTCACTTGCCCAGAGACGATGTTGGTTGGCCCAAAGAAGTAGATTTTGGCGGTGGCGACGCGTATGGACAAGTCCTCGGTGTGGTCGTCGAGCCCAAAGTTCAACATCATGCAGTCTGTTCCGAACAGTTTGATAAGACACATGACGTCCTGGAGGCAATGCCTTGTGCAGTTGAAGAAGTTGTTGTAAACCTGTCTCTGAGCTGACGAAGCCAAATCAAGCGATGTTCCCCTGCTGTTGTCACACTGGTTCGCCCACTGCGATGACGGTCTTCAGCTATACCGGTGGCTTGGAATCGGTGCCAAAGTCGACTGATGATACTCTGATGCACGTTTATATGCCTGGCAACATTACTTTGACTTGCCCCTGTCTGCAGTCGGCCAGTAGCAATATTCCTTAAATCTATCGATAGAGGCGCCATTCGTGACATCGTGAAAATTAACTGATCGTTTTGGTGTAGCGTTATCCTTTTATATGACTGCAATTGAGTAGGCAGTGAATAGTGTTCACCGCAAATTGTATTACTTTCTCGTGCACGCAGCGTGAGCTATGCTCACAAATATAGTCTTAAACTTAATTGACCACTGCGTTCTAACGATTTAAAAACCCAGTTCACGCATACATGTCCACTTGACACGGTAAACAACCTTTGTAAGTCTGTTTTTCACATACCTGAGTACGATATTTTATTTACAAACTAATTTTTTTTTTTTTTAAAGCACCATTGGATAATTTTGGGCTGAGGGGCGTTCAGCTTGATTATACATTTTCTAGAGGAAAACTTCAAGATTACAAATCCTTGTTTAAGTAACTAATATGAATATTATGCGGAATGACACACAAATACAGTAAAATCTCGTCAACACGAATACAATTTTGGTCCCATCTGTGATGCATTATCTTTAGTTCCCTGTTGGAACAATTGTTTTTACACGAATTCTTGATCTTTTGCTCCCTTGGAATTCGCAACAAGGTTTTACTCGTAATAATAAATTTAAACCTCTTTGAAATGAACTCGCTTAAGACGAGCAATCGAGTAACACAGACACAGTTGTGGTCTTATCAGAGATATTTTACTCATAATGTATCTATTTGTCCGCAGTACGCACGAATTAAATGTTTTAAACGAAATATTCATATTCCGTTAAATTCGCTTTTACGAGGTTTTACTGTATATTTGAAATAATAGGAAATGCATAAACAGATATTTACAATTAATTAGAATGTTTATACATGGGGGGGGGGGGGGGTTGCGGCTCGGTGGGCTTAGAAGCTATCGAATGTGGTTAACAATTTCATGATCCTTGAGGGCTGTGGTACGAGAGAAACAAATCCGTTTTCGTCGTTTTCGGACAATGGTACGAGAGTGGCACCGTGGAAGAGACTGAAGCCTTACCGGGTAATATTCCCAAAAATCAACAGTAGTACACTGTAAACAATCTTCATTGTGGAGACGGCACAGAAGCTAACATGAAGAAGGGAAGAAAAAGGTGGGGGGGGGGGGGATGGCTTTCGCACCTACATTTTAAAGGGAATGAGAGGGGGTGGGGGAGGTCAGATATATTTATTTGAGGAAGGGGAGAGGCTGGAGATGCTTGAGTCCCTCAGGTTCCGCAGCCCGTGCTGGTTAGGCCTGCGGGCCGAAAGTTTTTGAAAACCCCCTATATCCTTTAAAATCACGAACTTACCATCCCAGGGGGTGTAGCTCACGTTCACACTGGTGACTTTCCACGGATCTTTATCTTCTTTCCAGGCTGAGCTCAACTTCCTTCTGTTTGGAAGTTTTCTTGTCAGCTGACGTGTCATTCTTGCTGGCATTGTGTATGTTATTCCCATTAGTATACCCATTTTTCACCTAAGAAAATAATACATTTATATATATATATATATCAGAAGTAATAAATAAGACAATGTCATACTTTCTGTGCAAGGTAACCCTTTTACAGAAATGTCACGCAGACGTGAGTGCGGCATCGTATGTTATGATGACGAGTTCTCCTTCTTTGTTTACTTCTCAACAGTTGATACTGTAAAGTTAATGAAGTAACAATATTCCTGGCTACCAATAAAATATGCAAATGCTCGGTTCGAATATTATATTCAGAGTAAATGTTCCTCTACTCCTCTTCCCGCTGTTAATACTGCTACAGCTGCTGTTGCCGCTGCTGCTACCACATTACATTAGGAGTAAATTTTCCTTTCCTATTTTTGCTACTTTTAGAACTGCTACTGCTGTTGCACTAAATTTAAAGTGAATTTTCTTCTCCACCTGTTCCTACTATTAGTACTGCTACTGATGCTGCTACTGCTGCTGCTGCTGCTGCTGCTGCTGCTGCTACTACTACAGCTTATGCTGCTGCTACTGCTACTACTACTACTACTACTACTACTACTACTACTACTACTACTACTACTACTACTACTACTACAAGCAGTTGTGGTAGCGGCAACTTCAGGAGTTATAGAAGGTCGTGGGTTCAAATCCGCATCTATTGGGTCGAGCCGGTCTAAAGTTAGTTTCAGGAACTGTCCTGGGAAGTAAAGCTGAAGGGCGTGAGTTAGCCTTATCCCCTTCAAGTTCCGATTTATATGTAACAAAAATGTGTGTGTCCCATTCCCATGTATGTATAAAGTAATAAATTATCATTTTCATGAAAACTAGTATTCCTTTAATCCGTCCAATGTGTTATTATTATTTTTTTAACTTTTTATTAATTTCATGTGTATGTTTATTATGTATGTTTATATGAACGCAACTTTTGCGTTAGATTTTAACACTACTTTCTAAATTAGGGCCCCAAACGACAGTCGGAGTGAACTTCAAAATAACGAACAAAATGAGTCCCATATTGGGCCGAGGATTATTCTGATATGCTGCTAATATTTCTGCTTAAACGACCCCCAAAAGGCATTGCCACATGTACTGTGTTTTTGGAGTCTTCTTCCTTCGTTCGTTTCAAATACATTATCTAAATATGCAATGCTGTTTCCAGTATGAACTTTACTGTCTTTTGTAATTCACCTAGCGGTCTGTCAAGTTTGGCCTCTACCAGTGTCTCTTAGCCAGAAGTTTTGCCTGGAAATGTTGTATTTAGGACAGTCTTGTGATCTGTTGTTTCGGGTGCTGGTTCATAAGTGCACATGGCTGACTCGCCAAACATAGAATGTGTGTACAAGTGGCTGCGTTCAGAGTGAAGTGTTAATTCTTTGCATATTCTGGGTGACTTAATAATAGATAGGATGGTCATTTCACATCCTGGGCATCTTGCCCACCTAGACAATTCCTGGAAAGTTAAACAAGCAATGCGGATATTTCCCAGAGCCGGAGTCGTTTGTGAAATACTACTTTTCACAAATGGAGAATGGTCCCGGACACATACCTAAGTAAACAAGTCAGCAGGCCGGCTAGTGGCAAATGTAATCTTGCGACAGAAGTTGTGGCATGCATGTCAAATGTTAAACAGATATAAGAGTATACTTAGCATTCAGGGTAATGTATCTCCTTGGTACACAGTAAGTTCTTCTTCGTTTTCTTCTTCTTCTTCTCTTCTTCTTCAATTTCTTATCAATATTATTACTATTATTCGTATTCCTTCTTAAGCGTTTGTCACTAAAAGGACGGTTAATATCTGGGGGTTTTTTTTTGGTTTTTTTTTTTTTTTGTTCATATCTACATTGTGATTCTGCGACAACACATCCGATTTCAACAAATCCCTAATCATTAGCCTTTTACGACATGTTTACTGAGGGAAGCAGTGGGTCTGTTATCTATTGTCCAAATTTGGGGTCCAGAAACCCACACAGTGAGAATTGTAAGTGTGTATGTAATTAAACGTAAAGGATTCTATGTCAAGACTCCTCTGGCGTTTAATGCTAGACTGATTTACTAGGCTGTATTCGGTTGGTGTTATGGGCAAAATGAGACCGGTGGCCTTTACTCCCCAGGACATTACATGATACCCATTTCCATCATGGTCTCCTTCTCAACCAGTGACAGTTTTTAAGGGCAATAAAAAATACCCTCTTCTGTGACAATCGAACCCAAGAATGATGGTTTACTAGACTCTAACAATGCCTCTGGAGATCATGTATTATTATTTTTTTCCCCGGATAACTTACGGTTCATGGGTCGAGGTTTTGGGACATTTGGGAAGCTTTTTAATCCTCATAACATAGCTATTCTCTTCAAAACATAATGCGTTTTCTTCTTCTTAAAGTTCATGCTGTCTGGCGTTTTGTGGTCATTTCGATCCACGACCTTCTGTGATTTTACTGATGCCCCCCCCCCCCCCCCCCACCCCCCCCCCCCCCCCCCCCCCGAAAAAATGAACCTTAAGGGTAATGTTACCAAGATAGTCTGGGATTTCTTGGAACAAACAGTTCATATTTAATATTTGTAGACTGTCACATATAATCATGTGTTTGATAGTGTTCAATCTGTAAGAAATTACTTGTTGACGCTGATGTCACTTGACCAGAGACCACAGATTGGAGTTAGAACTTGAGAAGAGAAGTGTTGGTTGCGTTAATTCCCGTGTCAGTTCCGATGCCTTTTTTTATAGGGCGGAGAATAGACCCAATCCCCTACAGCAAGCATGTCGTAACTGGCGACTAAAGCAATTTGGCAGAAACTCGGATATGTTGAACAAAAATGCAAAGATGTCGCAGCTTAGCTGTTAACAACCACGCAACTTATTAACAGCCTTTTTAAGATCAAACGCAGAAAAAGGCCATGTAGCTTGAAAAGAGAATACTGCGTGTTAAACCTGACAGCCATTGCCAATCTTGTGCTGATGTTCACTTTTACTGCGACTATCTGGAATAATCAGCTAATATTTTGGTTGGGGAACTCTGCTCCAGTTGGAAATAAAAAGCAAATGATAAGAAGCAGCTGGAAAAGAAGAAAAAACAACAAGAAGACGACGAACAAGAACAATGAGAACAAGAATAACAAGAATAAGTGCAACAGGAACATTATATTTGCAAAATATTTATATTTATCTTGAGTCTAGTACCAGAATATCGCTGCCTGTAAATATCTCTCCCGTGTTTGTTTTGAACGCAGTGAAGGTTAATTGTCGTTCTCCCCGCCGACTGCTCTCTTCAACAAGTGACACGAGATATTATAAGCATTGATTTAATAAATTCATGCATTCAGTTATGTTATCTGACCCAGCATTAATGTTCACAGTCCTGACAAGGTTGTCTACACAGGATTATTGTCAACAATATGTTATCTAGAATTGGGAAGCGGGGCTACATTTGCATTTTAAGACTGAATCAAGGTTGGCAGCTGGCACGGTTTTTGGTGTTTTAACATCATGTACACTTTCTTAGCATCATGACGATCGCTGAGTACATTCGATTGAGACGTACATTCTCGGAAATTTGACATATTTTGAGATCATGACTTTTGCAATTTGAAGTTGAATGTTATCAATGGACATTAGGAGCCTAAGGAAAGGTAAAGTTAAAGTTGAGGTGATCGATTTCACTGCACCAAATAATCCCAAATAGCTGGGTCTCTTTTTCGCAGAACGGCAAGACGCCTGAAGATGGTGTCGCTCAAAAAAAAAAAAAAAAACACAGTAGCAACAATTCCTAGAGCCTCTGTAAAAAATGCTTTTTTTAACTTAAATGACGCGTTCCTGAAACGAACCCACAAGCTTTGAAACGCCAGGCGAACAGCTAAACCATTTCGCCACATAGACACCCTTTTGGATCCCATGACACAGTATCAGCAAACAAACTAAAGTAACACTGTGGGAACATACATCAATTACTGCGGTAACATGCAAATACGAGTCATGAACTATTTAGCAACCATTCATTTCATGTCGGCATTGTGGCTTAGGCGTTGCGAACGCGCTTCGTAATACTGGGGTGAGGGGTTCAATCACAGCTGCGGGCGATTTGTTTTGCGTTGGTTTTGACAGTGGTACCGAGAGCTGACCGTTAAGTAAGCAATGGCAAACTATTGAACGTAAAATATTTCTAGAAAACGAAATCAGCAAAAAAAAAAATGCTGGGGTTGGCTTTGCAACGTCCTGTAAAGAATGCACAACTAACTTATTATTATTAATTTCATCGTTCAAGTTTGATCCTCTCGTAGTTCGCTGATCAAGACTTTTGTCGACACGTTCGCTTACATTTCATGTGTGTGTTTTCTAGTTTCTTCTGTTAAGCTTTATAGTCATTGGATTCGTCGACAGATTGATTCGTCCCTTGTTCTGCTGCCTAAAGGGTTAACATTCCATCCTGAAATCAAATAAAGTGGACATAACTATTGGTGTAGCGAGATCAGGTGGTACTCGGTGTGGAAAAGTTCCTGTCACCCCTGTGGCATTGCAAGATCAAGTGGTGCCGGTTCAGAAATTTTTCTGTCACACACACACATGCACACACACACACACACATGCATACATATATAAACAAACACACACATTGTGTAATGTTAAAAACACATATTTTTGCAATGTTGCCACCCACTCCCAGTGATGACACCCGGTGGGAACCACAACCTCTGCACGCCACTTGCTACGCTCCTTGACATAACACAATAAAGACGTCTTGAGCAAACAAATAAAAAACACCCGAGACAGGTGATTTAGTCAAGAATCACTTTTCTACAGCTGTAATGACACTGTCATTCTACAAAGCACGGGATTTGACTATGATGATTTGCATATTGTTTATTGTGTTTTTCCATGCACTGAAACATATGTCATAAAAGCCGACTATTTAGGGATGTTACCGTCGACACCGGAGTGCATCTCTGCCTAAGAAGCATGGAACAAACCGTTTGCATTATTAATAAGCCAGACCGGTGAAAAATGGATGTGCATGTA